AAATTAGCCAGGAAATAATTAACTCCTTTGTAGAAAAACGAAAACAAGATTGGGTAAATTTCCAGTTGAATGGGAGCGAAAGTTACGCAACCAACCAACCAACCATCTACGCAAATTAAGAAAAGTTACACACGGAAAGACTGAATATACATATGTACAATGAATACAGTTACCTCCCCTCCCCCACCGTAAAAAGAGATTTTCATTTTTCTATGACTGTGAACACCACTCAGTTACCAAGGCTGAAATAGACCAGGTAGAGATTTCTTCTAACCGTGAACTGACTGACTGACTGAAAGTTGAGTGTTTAAAGCCAGTTAACGAAGCCATGTCACCACATGTATAACTACCAAAGTAAACAATTCTGCACACTAGCTATTTGATTGACATCTGAAAGACTCCTCAAGAGATAGAATTCGTCTGGGATTTATTAACTTGGTCATGTAAAAACCTATTCTATATTCTGTACATTTCTATTTATAATAGTTTTTTTGGGGGATTGGGCTTAAATCTAGTGTAACTTACTACAAGAGGAGGCTCTCTGAAGTTCTAGTAAAAAGTTATGATCAATAGAGTTCGCCAAGTCCTACTAGAGGAAAAACACTCACAGATGACACTGACTGTTGGTCACGCCATATAATAAGCATTGGCAGATTCTGTCCCAGTGGATGGATGGTGTGCAATTTCACCGTATAACCATGAAGACTGACCCTGAGAGTTTGTGATCTCTAGTCAAGCGTTGTGGGGTACGTGACGATGAAGATTAGCAAGCACTAGGACGACGAGACAGCTGTTCCCTACTCCCTAGCTAAATTGAGTCCCTGATTCATCGCGTGAAATCGTTTATTTATTTAATTTTTCTCGATTCTTTCAGTGTAATGCTGTTATAAAGTTTGACAACTGCGACGCGTGTGTACTGCTGCTGATTCCCAAACTAGAACGAAACAACGGTCTAGTACTCCAGTGTTGGTTTTCAATGGTTCTCTTCTGATTGATATCAATCCGTGATCAACTTGGAAAAAAAAAACTAATCCTTACAAACTAACTGTATAGAAAATTAATGCTAGTGATTTGGTACAGGATGGAGTTTCCTGGAGTTCTACTGAGACGTAGTGACCAGTGAGGTCCATCCAGTCAAGTGTGTGAGGATGGATGTCCCACCGATGACATTTGGTAGTGGTCACGCTATTCATAGTCTGGTGGCCATTGAATCAGGTCCCATCCCAGAGGCTGAATAGTCTACGAGCTAGCATGACTTGTAACCGGAAGATCCTGGATTCGAACCCCGTATTGTGGGTGCGTACTGGCGATGATTCCCAAGCAGTAAGACAACAGAAACAGTTGGCTGTTCAATATTCCAATGCTGGTTTTCAATGCTTCTCTAACTGATATATCCAATCGGTGGTCAACTCGTAAAAACTACTTAACTACCACCCGTTGAAAATTCAGATCATCTCAATTCAGTTTATTTCAGTTTTGTGCACATAACAGTTAAACAAGGAAGGTGTGTTAATAAGTGTATTAATTATGATTTCGGTGAACAAGTAATTTTCTACCCAGTAAGGGGGGCGTCATCTAAAGATGTGCTTAAAACAACAACAACAATAACAAGGGGCTTGACTACACAATTCAATCAACTTATGGAAAAAAAACTTTTGAAACAAAGAAGGTGTAGATAGATCAGATTAATTCTTGATTTATGTGGGTGTGTGTTTGTGTTATCTATGACCTGGATGGTAGTAGTTTAATTAATTGTGAAGCTCTCATTATGACTTATCCTTTGTAAGATGATTAAATCTCATACATAACAACAATAATAATAACAGGGTGCCTAATTTCATACTGACTGACTGGTTTTAACATAGAGAACTTTGCACACACACATGTGCACCAGTTCAAGTTGTCACACTCTCTCCTTGTAGCACACAAAACCAGAGAATAGTAAGAATAAATGCAAATTCAAAAGAGAGCGAGAGAGAGATAATAAACAGAAGTGTGAGTGAGGGATAAAGAATAGTAATCTACAGAAAGAAGGAAAATCGAGTTCCACCGAATACGAGAAATAAACAAAGAGTGCATGCATCTGAGCCTTATCACTAATTGTCACCAGCCGCTGGATTTCTACTATCTCTGGCTTTGCAAATAAACCAACCTGTCCAGCTAGCGCTCAGAAAGACCCGACCGATAGCTGTTACCTTGACATGGTGGTTGGGTTTGCACATCGTGATGATCCAACAAGCTACACTGGCTGGAACCAATGTTCCTGCAAGTCCCACCATGACAGGAAGGTTGTTAGAATAGCGATCAGGCTAAAAACAGTTACCAGAATAGTGTAAAAATTTGTTTACACTATGCTGGGGAATAGGGATATTACAGCAGTGAGGTGTTTCCCTCAGATGACCAACATACCAGCCAGCTATGTTGTCCCTCCACTCACGGGATAGAAGGTTAGAAAAGATCAACCTCAACAATTGTACATCCCGACTTACCCCACCTACAGTGGTCGGTAACCGGCGGTAAGTTTACTAATACGGAAGCAAACCAAGTAACTAGTTCATACAGGCCGTGTGTGACCGGTCTCAAGCAGTTGTCCCCTGGGCTCTGGGGCCACGCAACACTAACCCTCTTTCTGTTTCAGGTACCCGAAGAGAATCAACCAACTTCCACGTTGTGGAGTGGGGGCAGCCGGGAAGTAGCAACCGTCAACACACTTCCAAGAGCACACAAAGCCTCCCCAAGCATCATTCTCTTTTACCCACATCACCTAGCTCAGAGAGAGAGAGAGAGAAGGCGATCACTAAATTGCAATCGTTTCTATTCATTCAAATGTCCACACAAATCATGTTGGATAGAGATAAAAGGAACCAGGTGAAATGTTTAACGAATCCAAATATATTTAACAAACCAAATCAGAAGGAGAGATCTATAAACACGTTTATCGATCAATGAGTGATATATTAATAATAAAGCAGGCATCAAAACATTCCTCTTCAAAACATTGAATAATTTGCATAGGTAAAAAAAGTAACCAGATGTTCAGATAGCCGATCAAGAAGGAAGACACTGGCGACCAAAGAATCGAAAACCTGTCGTCCGACAAATACCCAGAAGGAAAAGGGGACAAACTCATTGTACGCCCACCAAGGAGACAGGCTGTATTGAGAGTGGAACTAGAATGGGAGGATGGTATTGAGATCGTAATAGGCGGCAGTGGCGGCGGCAAATAAAAGTGCTCCGATGAATGAGTTTCTCTGTTAGCTATGAAGTCATGATTTATCCATGTACTGCTATAATAACCTTATTGGACAGTTTTTGATGCGTCTATTTATTTCATGGAGGATTTCATCATGCGCTGACATCAGTAAGAGAACCACTAGAAAATCTGGGAATACAGGACAGCTGTTTCGTCCTAGTTTGGGACTCTTCATCAGTCTGTCTGTCTGTCTGTTTTCGACATAGAACTTCGCACGAATGTGCGACAGTTCAAGTCGCCACACTACCTCCTTGTAGCACACAAAGCAACAGAAGAAAGTACAAGGAAAGCATAATAGAAACAGTGAGCAGAGGTGTGAGACAAAGGAGTAATAACGAAGAACAAAACAGTTTCATTGAAGATCATAAGTCACAAGGAGTGGATGCATCTGCGCCACTGAGAACAATTTTGAGCCATGTCACCAATTGTTTCCAACCATAGATTTTTACCGTCCCGAGGACCCCAGCCTGGAAGTCTACACCTTCCTACGTGGCATAGACCAACTGTTGTAGATTTCATTGGCTGGTGCCATGTTTTTGTTTGACCGCCGCTAGCTTTTTTCCAGCCTGACCCTATATCCGCTAACATTGCTCGTCGAGGAAGGCTGTGACTAGGCATGCGTAACACATGTCCTAACCATCTCAGTCTTTGTAACTTCACGACTTCGTCGATTGATTTCCCCTGTTTACCTAGAACTCGACGCCTAATTTCAATGTTGCTCACCTTATTATGCCACTTTACACGGGAAATAGAGCGCAGGCACCTATGATCAAAGACAGCTAGTCTTTTCATGTCTTCCACTCTCAGTGGCCAGGTCTCACAACCATAAAGGAGGACGGAGTGGACTGATGAGCAGTACACCCGCCCTTTGGTCGATAGTCGAACATCTCGTCTACGCCAGAGTCGGCGTAAACTAACAAATGCGAAACGAGCCCCTTGTATTCGTGCTGAGATTTCGTCAGAGATCAGCCCGTTGGGGCTAATGCGCAGATGCTTTGACGATGTCTGGGCATGTAGTTAGAATTGATATTGGTGGATGGTGACTAGCAGTGGAATCCAAGATTACGCGCATTTCGTCGAAGCATCTACACAAGAAGCTGACAGACATGTCAACCTGAGACCCAGAACTTCGCTGCAATCAATCGACGCGAAAATCTGAAATTCAATTAAATAATTAATTAATTTTTTTATTTTTATTATTTTATTTTAATTTTTTGGTTGCAGCTTGATTCCACACTGTATTTTTGGTACAAGTAATGAATTTTCAGCATGTGATATCGGTAGCCCAAATTTCGCAGGCCGACCATAGATATCAGGTGTGCGTCGGCAGGGGATCGAATCTTGGACCATGTGCATAGTCGGCGAGAGTCCTAACCACCATGCCACCGATGCATGACATGTTGAACAAAAAGGTGGCTCTAGTGACCCAAGTGGTCTGTCTGTCTAGTGGGTAACGCTTTGGCGTTTGAAACTATGGGCACTGGATTCGAGCCTCAGTGATGAGAACATCATCACTCACTGACTGAGGAATGCAGGTACATCCACTGGCTGACGAGTCCCAAATACGATGAAAGGCGCATCCTGGCTGGATTCCGCACTGCTAGTCACCATCCACAAATTCAATGCCATCTGTGAAGTCAGTTAAAATAAAGTAGTGAGAACGGTGATTATGCCACTAAAGAAGTTCATGATAATAATAAAAATACAATAAAATAATATCATCATCGTTAATGTGAATAATACTCACTTGCCATACAACTTAACAGACTATGATGAGCCAGTACAAATAATTCAGCTGTACTCTTTGCAGTTGGTTCTTCCAGTATACAATAATCTATCACAGAAGAAAAAAAAACAAATAGACATACAGAGAGAGAGGTTTGAAAGAGAATAAGAATGTTTTTTTTTAAAATTTCGTTTATTCTTCAATAATTTTGATCAGTGTTCATTTCATCGATTATCTTCGGCATAAATAAAAAGTAGTCGAAGAATTGTTGCATGTGAAACATCTATGAAACGTGTGCTTCGCCAACTCTTTGCCCTTCCTCTTCCTCTTTCTAACTAAATACACCTAATGAGAAAACCTCATCGTAAATGTTAGTGATGTCATTGAGAAAGCTTCATCTGGAAGGAAAAACGTCATACTTAACAAACAGTTCAAACAGTATTTGTTAACCCTAATCAGGAAAGGAAGAAAGAAGGAAATTACAGCACGTTTGCTATTGATGACTGCCATTCTTGGCTATATCCGATAACGTTTCAAGCCATTGATTTGAGCTATCTCACAGACCCCAACTAGGGAGTCGTGACGCACCAACCGATGTTAAACTAGCACAAATATCCTTCATCCCACGACGCCACGTCATGGACTGACCACCCCTCCGCCTTTTCCATCCCGTTCCAGGACTGGCTAGCGAACAGAGACCTGTACGAGAGCCTCTGGGGTGACATTCTCAGCACATGTCCAAGCCACCGGAACCGGTGTTTCCATCAAGTGACGACACTCAATGAATGGTGATCTCCACTGTGTCCAAACACACGCTACCGAACCTCAGGATTACTTCTGTCTGTCTATCTGTTTTCGACATAGAACTTTGCACAAATGTGCGGAAGAATTACTTACGCGATGATGCCATCGAACGCAAGCAATCCTGAGGAAACAGCGATGATCGAACACGCACAGCCGCCGAACATTCTCAGCCTACTAGGAGAGGTCAAGTTTCACAGGCGTAGAGAAAGAAAATTCCGCACTGAAGCACTGCATACCCGACCTTTGAAAGCCAGGCTAACGCCGCGACGGCGCCAGAGGTGGCTCAAGTTGATGTATGCCACCCTAGCCTTCATTATACGGTTGGAAATCTCATCCGTTACACCTCCGCCAACACTCACACAACTACCCAGGTAGACAAACTTATCAACAACTTCAAGCAGTTCACCCGCAAGAGTGAGTGCAGGTAGAGGCTCTTGTCTGTACCTGTCCCCCACAGAGAGAGACAGAGAGGGAGTGTGTGTAGTTATAACCAGCCGGTGATTCCCAGGACTAGGATGAAACACACTGACAGCTACCACCACCAACCAAAGTAACACTCCTATTTACCTCAAGGAATAGATGAAGCATTTGTATTAAGAGCCATCGACATACATAGATAGCATCAAAAAGGGGAACAAGTGATTCACTCCAGTATAAATAAATCAATGGGGTAAATATATATTCGAAATAACGCTTAAACAAATAACTAATTGATACTCGGTGGTACAAGAGAGGTGACAAACGCCACCCACCCAAGTAGACTGACTAGGAAGACACTGATTTGACGTTTGAATCTCTGTGAGAGCACTAGTGTTCACTAGGGAAGGATATGGGTGAATTCAGCTGATGAAAGGCACCTACCTACCTACCTCCTGAATTCAACTGCTATCGAATTTACCAAGTAATCAATATCTCAGTGATCATTTAACCGTTGGATCTCGTCATTCAGTCGGAGAATTAAGGAGAAATTGATTAAAATTTGCATACTGAAGTATCCGTTTTCATTCAAAACTCAATCAAAATACCAAAATAGTATAAACTATGGGACTGAGCAACGTGAATAGTTAGAAAAGACTTTAATGTGGGCACTTGTTTTGACATAGACATTGACATAGGAAAGCACAAAGAAAATTGCCTTACCATACATAAAGGATATCTCAGAAATCACTGCAAGACTCTTCAAACCTTTAGGAATTAACGCCGTACACAAACCAACAAAGTCACTTCACTGAATTCTATGTCAACCAAAAGACTCAACAACGAAAGAAGAAGATAAAACCAACATCATCTACAAAATAAACTGTAACAACTGCGAAAAACACTAACTAAATTGGCCAAAGTGGACGTCCCCTTCGTCTTCGTATCTACGAACATAAGCTAGCCATCAAAAGACATGACGTCCACTCCCTCATATCACCACACAGACAACCACGGACATCAATTCGACTGGGACAGCCAACGTTCAAATATTAGACAGAGGAAACAACAAGAATGCTAGAGAATTTTTAGAAGCTTGGACTGGTATTCCAGTGAATCATCAATCCATAGACACATCGACATGGACAAAATTTATCAACCGATAAGAAAGAAACTTCACACACAAATAGTCAAAGTTCAATTCAAAGAAGCAATCAGTTCCAATACAAAAAAAAACAACCAATCACCAGGAGAGATGATTAATAAACTCGTGTAGAAATCTAAAATCTCACTTCAATTCAAGTTGATGTATGCGCCGAAGATGTTGCCTAGTAGTGGGGGCGATGAAAGCTTCGCAAATTAACTATCCAGCTCACAGAACACAACCACATCAAAATCATCCACCTGAGCTACAAATCTTCTCCATCATATCCACATAAGATAACCAATCAACATCAACAAGAACAACAACAACAACAACCGACGCCAATCGCAATCAATGAGAGAGAGAGATATGAAAGAGGCTAGTAACTTCAATCACTTATCTGGTCAGGAAGCACGATTCAACCACATGCAGTAGGAACGGATGAAAATGTGAAAGCCAGCCAGCCAGTCAGAATCGGAAAGGCAAGGAAAACCCAGTTTGGAAATCTTCTGCACTGCACTCAGCCAGCCAGCCAGCCAGCATAAACAACAACATTCTTATTCTGTTCTATCTTCAACACAAACATGAAGTCAGTCAGTCTCACTCGGCATGACACGAAAAATGGCCTCCAACAAGTTGCTGCAGACTTTTCTCAACAGCTACCACCTTCGCTGGCTGGCTGGCTGGCTGGCTGGCTTTATACTGAAGATCAAATGACCAACCGGCTGGCCAGAAAGATTTAGTAACAAGAAATTCTGGCTGGAGACAATCCAACCAAGAGCGGATCACTCAACAAATATGTGCGAAAAAAATTGAGATGAACTGATCGGACATTCGTTGAGGACATCGCGTCGAATGCAGGCCACCGGTCGAGTGGAATCCCAATGGGAAGCGACGACTGAGTAGTCTATGAGAGGGTGAGATGAAGAAAATCTTGTGAGTTGGAGGAGGAGATGACAGATTCTAGGCAATCGTGGACCCAGCTGAAGAGGACAACACCAAATAGAAGAAAGTGGAGATGTGTTGTTGAAGCCCTCCCTTTGCTCCCCTAGGAACCCAAGGAAACAATAATAATAATAATAATATAATCGGTACTATTGGCACTATAATTCTGCACTTTATAGCCTGGAATGTGAAAAACCTATTTCGGGAAGATTCAGACTAATAAAGACTGAGTGATTTCACTTATGATTGTGCTATAATAACACGTAGGCAAACCTGGTGAAGGGGAGGTTTTGAAAGAGGTCACTTCATTCATTCACTTATCTAGAGGGCATTGTCTCAACTACAGCCAGTTGGAACGGACGAGGATGTCAAATCGAGAGAGAATCAGGAAGGCAAGCGAGAAACACATTCATCAATCAACCTGAAACAACCAATCTGGAAATCTTCGCCACTCAGCCAGAATGAACAACAAAATTCGGTCGGATTTTCAATACAATACAAACGTCAAGTCAGTCAGCTCTTCTATACGGAAGGGATCAGAAACTTGGCTTCAGAAAGAATATTTCCAACAGCCTGTTGCAGACGTTACCTTTATCAACAACTTTCTTCGCTGGCTCTATACTGAAGATCAGACCAGATGACCGCAAAGAATCACCAACAAGAACCTATGGGGATTAACAAACAAAACAAGAACCAATCGCCAACCACCAAATATGCAGGAGAAAGTGGAGATGGATGGATTAGACACTCGCTCGCTGAGGAGGCCGCCGCCGCTGGGTGACATCACGCGCGCATCAGGCCATTTCTCGAGTGGACCCAAGCCGAAAGGGAAGCACTCGGCGAGTCGGACGTCAGTGGAAGGGTGACATGGAGGAGATCGTGTGAAGAGAGAGTAGTTGAAACAGTATGAACTGACTAACATGGATTCAGGTGAAAAGTACAGCAGAATGAAGGACAGAAGCAAGTGGAGATGTGCAGTTGAAGCCCTATGTTCCACTAGGAACCCAAGGGAACAATAATAATAATAAACTTGGTGAAGGCGAAAATCAATTATGAATCAATACATTCTAACCAATCAGCTGAATGAAGAGTGTTGCTTGTGAGATACATCCGCTCACAGTTTGATACCACAATGAAACTATCGAAGAGGTATCGAACTAGGGATTTTTTTAAGTGCTCTAATGTCAAAGCCAGAATCGGATAGGGAAGATTCACCTTTGTCAATCTAAAATCAGTTTTGGAAATATTTTTTCCACTCAGCGTAATAATCGAAATTCGGATCTTAAGCATAAATGTTAAGTCTGCTCTTCTCTATATATTATGCATCAGAAAATGAGCTCACACACGTCTCGAAAAGCATTTCCAACAGGCCACTGAAGACTTTTATCAGCAGCTGCCCACTTTGCTTGCCCGTCAGAAAGAATTAACAACAAGAAATTATGGGAATGAGCTAAACAGGAATCTAAAATTCAAGAAATATGCTGAAGCAAAAATGGAGATAGTTCGGACACACTGAGGAGACCGTCGAATAATGACATCGCGCTCAATGCAAGCCATCACCTGAATGGAACCCGGATGGGAAATGACCTGTAGGAGGTGGATGATACGGAGGAGGGCAATCTTGGGTCTAGCTGGAGAGGACTGCAGAAAAAAGGATAAAACGAAGATGTGATGTTGGGGTGAAGTCTTATGTTCCACTTGGGACCCCAAATGAATAACATGTCAATCTTCTTACTAATTATGATGCTACTTTGTTTGAGTTTTATCCGTCCCCCTGTTAATTACGGCATTTTAATTCCTAATTGTAATTTTTATTAATTTGACCCTTAACCAAAAATTATTCTGGAACTTTCCCATCCATTTGATATAAATACACGAATGTACAGTCTAGATGATGACTTCGTCGAAAAGAAAATTTTCTTCGCTGTAAATGTCTTCAAAATAAAAATATTTTATTAACCATCTTTATAAACAACTGCAACATCCATCCTATTATGGTGCTGGCTACACACATCGCGCGCGAAAACATCTTGCCGTTGCCAGAAATTAAAAAAAAAACAAAATTCGGATCATTTAAACAACAGCAATAACAAAAAAAAGATTCAATACAACAACTTACTACGTAATATTTCTGCAGCACAAGATAATGATAATTCTGGTAGGCTTAAATTTAAATGATGCATTAATCGTCCAGAGACACGTAAATGTTCTGTAATTCGTTTAAATGATGGAAAATGTCGCATAATCACTTCACGTTCTTTTAAAGGGAAATCAAAATAATTGTATTCATCTGTTTCCGGGCAATAATCACGACTAAGTAGTAATAGAAGAACTGGATACATAGCTTCACGGACAAGATTACTTCTAGCTGTAATGCCCAATTGATTAAAGCCTTGAAGATTGGGAGAAAGAGGAGGAGGAGAAGGAGAAGGGAAAAATCAAAAGAGTATTAAGTGGCGAAGAGGATGTCAAAAGAATGTATAACAGTTATTAATCTGTGTGACTACACACAGACACACATTACAACATAAAAGATTTTCCTACAAGGAGTCCAATAATATGCTCCACATTGTTAAAATCGATAATAATTGATTTAGTAGACGGAAGTGGTGACAACTAGTGGAATCCGTCAGGGATGTCATCCCACTATCCCCATTTCTGTTCGATTTCATCATAGATGTACTAATGGACATAACCCTAACTTACTTCAGAGACTCAGGGATTAACTTACTGCTAGGGATTTGAGCCAATTATTTTTCCCCTTGTAGATGACTTTAAACGTGGATGCTGTAGAGATAGGGTGATCATTATCTACCAGATCTCTGACGAAAATCTCAGCATGAATACAGAGGGCTAGTTTCGCATATGTCAGTTTACACCGTCTCTGGCTTAGTAAACGTGATATCCGGCTGGCTGTGGACCAAAGGGCGGGTGTACTGCACGGCAGTCCGCTCCGTCCTCCTCTATGGCTGTGAGCGAGATCTGACCATTGAGAGTGGAAGACATGAAAAGATTAGCTGTATTTGATCATAGGTGCCTGCGCTTTATCTCCCGTATGAAATGGTATAATAAGGTGAGCAATATTGAGGTTAGACGGCGATCGATTGGTAGGTAAGAAGGGAGGGGAAATCAACCGACGAGGCTGTGAAGTTACATCTATTAAAGTGGTTAGGACATGTGTTATGCATGCATAACTGTCTTAGCCATCGCCTTCCTCGACGGTCGATGTTAGCTGACACAGAAGGAATGATGTTGGGAAAGAGTAAGCTAGTGATGGTGGTCAAACCAAAACATGGCTTCATCAGTCAATGAAATCCACAACAGTTAGTTTAAGCCAGCCAGTCACGTAGGAAGATGCAGACTGTCTGACTGGTTGTGGTCCTCGGGACGGTTAACACCAATGACGGTTAGAGACAATTGGTGATATGGCTCAAAATCGTCCTCAATGGCTGGCTAAGATGCATCCACTCCTTGTGACTTATGATTTCCAATGAGACTATATTGTTCTTCGTTATTACTATTCCTTTTGTCACACATCTACTTTCTTCTCTTGCTTTGTGTGTTACAAGGAGAGAGTGTGGCGACTTGAACTTCTGCACATCAGTGTAAAGTTCTATATCGAAAACAGGTAGACAGATTTAGTAAACTGTACAAGCCTAATGCGTTAACAAAAGCTATTCTAATTGCTAATCACCACACACCATCATCATCATCATCGCCATCACCAACACAGGCGGAACACGAAAACCATAAGTCATATTAATACATGTGTAAAACACTGTGGTAATAAGTATTCCATTATAATTTGTTTATTATAGATATCACACAGTCAGTGAAACAGTATTATTATTTACTGGATGACGTAATTCCATACAAGCAGAGAACCTTGGAAACAACCTTACGCAGAATTCTTAACAAGGCAGGCAGGAATAAAAGTGGCTGACATTCAAACTCCACAGAAAAACTCAATTAAAAATAATCTCTGTCGGTTAAAGTATCAATCCTGTGGAGCCAATTAAACAAAACAATTCAGTTTATCTAATACCCCGCCAGCAGTGATTGTCAGGTCAAATACATAGGTCAAACTAGTAGAACAGGTGCAGTCAGTCAGACTAGCCGAGCATAAAAACCCAGTAGCAAAATCTAGATTGGTTGACCCAAATAAGATAAGAAATCTAGAGAATAGTTCAGCTACAGCACTCACTGCATGCAATAACACACAACCATACAATAAGCTGGATGGGATAAGATGACAGTTTTAAAATATAATCTAATGTAACAGCAGGGTGGAGGGAGAGATTGATGTCAACGGAAGCTTTGTCTATCGAATCAACTTCAAACAGGTGTAAAAGGAATGATTCAACACCTGTCCACCCAGATATCTGGAAAATTCTACTACCACGCCTACGACAACAAATAGGAGAGAAGAAAGAAAACTATAAAACTCGTGTTTCGAAGTCGTGTGATTACAACTGATATAATTAAGAACCACAATAAATTTTGTTCGAAACGTTATCCAGTAAATAATTATGTTTCAGTGTGTGATACATCTAATAAACAAACTAATATGGAACTTAAAAACGTAGGAAAGAAGACAGGTTGTTGACTGTAGCGATTTTACAATAGTTAAAAAAGGTTTACAGCGATACTGTAATATTGGTATAGCGGTTGCGCTGAAATCATGAATTGGTAGAAATTAGAATTCATGGGCTGACACCATTGGAGTTGGGTACCACCTCATCCAATGGCTGATTGGTCTACAAGCTTGCCATATGTAACCAGAAGGTTTTGCCTTCGAATTCCAATCGGTGGGTGTATACTGCCGATGAACTCTGACATAAATACTAAAGTTAGACACCCACAGTCACAGGTGGTAGCGTCTTCAATCACTGAGTTGTATAACCCATTGAAACTCACGCGGAAGGAGTTGTGACATTCAAACAGTGGCATAACCAGAAAATCACAATATCAAGCCCTCAACGAGGAGAAAATTCTTGGTGCATTTCCAACAGATGGTGGCACTTTCATTTAGATGACAGAAACTCTTATTAATTGTATAAAATTTCAATATTGTTCAAGCACACGATGAATTACTCATCACAGAATAGGGTAGAATTAAATACAAGCGATCGCGACTGAAAGGACTTTGCGTTTTAGTGGTAGAATGCTCACTAGCCACACACACGTATATGGAGCTCGGTTTACCGATTCTCAGCGCTGATGGACTCTAAAACAAAACCTCACTTAGCTGATAGAGTAATCCCAGAAAAGAAGATAAGGAGGGCTAGAGAGACAGTCAGACTAACCCCACACCACCGCTAGTGTGAAACTCAGAACGATGCAAAGGAGTCGAAACACATTCAACAGTGTCAGAAACTGTTCAGATTAGCGATTATAAATCTTTTCTGTAACACACCTGAGCACATGTACTACTCACACACACACAGACATGCAATAAAAAACCTGCCTTCCAACAATAGCATTATTTTTCCAATCGTTAACCTTAGTGTTAATATATATATATTTGAATAATAAGAGTAAACACTGATAACCTTGGCAACCAAAGTTATCTTCAGAACAAAACAAAGTAAAACAGATAAACAAATTAAAAGAGAAACGGCGCACAATACGGTTAACAAACACACATACACACACACGCACACAAACAAACAACAATAGCATAGATTAACTTATAACTTACCAGGTACAAGTTTAGCAAATTGTACAACTTGTTGAGCATGCATATGAAAGTGATTCATCATATGTCCCCATACTTGATTAATATTATCTTGATGCTCCGGTGGAATTGACGTCATACGAAAACGTGTTTTAAAATACTTTTTTTTTTTAATTTTACGGTGAATGAATGATAGGAGAGGCAGAAGCATAGGGAGAGAGAAAGAGAAAAGGTAACAAAAATTTATGTGAGAAACAATACATCACAGTATGCATAAGAATAAATATGATTCATACCAGATAACAATAATAATCAATAGTTATTGAATTGAATTTTAGATTTTCCCTCTCGATTGATTCGACTGAAGTGCTCAGTCTCAGGTTGACTCACGACCGGCTTCTTGTGCAGATGCTTCAACAATGTCTGGGCATGTAATTAGAAGTTAATTGGTGAATGGTGACAAGCAGTGGAATCCAGCTAGGATTCGCATGTCGTCCTATTCAGGACTCTTCATCTGACGACTCTGACTGATGATGCAGTCCACCGAGTGGTCAAGGGGAACCTTTTCGCAATTTAACATACTTGTAAAACAACTGGGAGATTTTGGATGAATATTTTGAACCAGACAAAAGTTCATCCTTCCTGAGCCGCAAACAACAAAAAAAACTGGTGACAAAGCTTAGGATTACCTAGCTTACGTAACTGCATGTTCAGTACTTTTCTTACAGTGCCGAATTCTACCAGAGACCAGTTTATGTGGTCGCGGTTTCCATAGGTTCTTCTAGCGAACAACTTAAAATCTCACTGTTGCGTGTACCACAGCACAATCTGTGGCCAAGGCAGTACAGATCTACACCAAATACCAGTTCGATGTACTACTATTCACTGAAGTCCGGGAATCAAATATTATGGGTTAATGCGCCTCGACGACGCCATGGGGATGAAAAACAGTCCCCACAAAAGTCTACAATGCATTGTCTCAAACACGCTCAAAACTGAATATTCCACGGAAAAAATACTTTTATTGCAAGAAATTCTATCGAAAAGCTTGGTGATGCAGCCACACCACAACAGAAGACTATTAAGTGAGCTAACTCTTAATGGCGTCATCTTTTACTCAATGCTCAAAATTCCCATTTATGCTTGAAGGGTCAGTATAAACGGTGTACATGTATCATTTCCTCTGTCATCAGCACAGGGTTCTTACAGCAACACGGAGCAAGCCCCAAGCCACTCTCCGGAGAACAGGAATTAATTATAGCGACTAAATTCACTATTAGGCTGACTGACGCAGTTTCGGTTTGACCACCGGCAACTCTTGCATATAGACACAGGAGACTCTTTTGACATTTGCAAACTCACGCCATCTCTGACTTAGTGGACGTGATATCCTCTCAGTTATCGACCAAAGGAAGTGTATATTGCACAGCAGCAGTTCGCTTCGTCTTCCCTTATAGCTGTGAGACATAAATACCTATTGCATGTGGAAGAGATGAAAAAGGTTGGCTAGCTATCTTTCATCGCAAGCGTCTACGTTCTTAGCCACCTCTGCGTTATGTGGTAGGTGTAATAGAATGAGTAATATTGAAGTGGTTAGGCTTCGGTCGAGTGGTACTTACTTACTTTACTTTACTTCGGCTATCTCCTACAGGAGGATGAGCCGGCTTCATGAACGTCTCGAATCATCGCTGCCCAGGCGCGGCGATCTGATGCAAGGTTTTGCAACAGGGTTATCCAATTCTTGTTCCACAGACGGAGTCCGTAGACGGTTTGTAGCCCCAGTCACTCCATATCAGCCTTGACTGTACCAAGCCATGTTTTCAGCTGTCCACCCCTGCGACACCGCCAAGATGGAAATGGCGAGGGATTTAGAACTGATTTGACCAGATCGTCATCTGGTCGGCGTAGAACATGGCCAAACCACCGAAGGCGACATTGTTGGACCAGCACTGGAATTTGGTTGATGTTGTAGAGAGTTCATGAAGTTTGATGGGAATTAGGTACGAGTGATGTCCCCAGAATCGCTCGGCCTTTTGTTTGAGAGTACAGCTCTAGCCTTTACACAACCAAGTGTGACCTACAAAGCAGTAGGAGTGGAGTAGGGAGTCCACTATCCATTGGCAGCCGGTGACCGCAGTCCGGGTTAATACGCCTTTTAGAATGGGGTCAGACATCCAGGGCATCCAATAAGCCCTTTGCCCATACGTCCGCCGGTGAGCTTCATACGCCAGTCGTTGGAGGTTTGGAGTCAGGGTTTAGCCATCCCCCCTAGACTGTCATCCAATGGACAGTCAACCCGGTGAAGAGCGCCGGGTATCCGCTTTTGCCCTCTCACTTCGGTGAAAAACAGCTCCGCCACGTGAAGGCAGTGAGTAGGACTTCCTCAGGAGAGGTTATGTAAGGTGGTAGTAAGGAGGGGAAACGCATCCATAAGGTTGTTAAGCTACATCGATTGAGATGGTTAGGATGTGTTACGAATGCATGCCTGTCCTCGCCATCACCTTCCTCAACTCGCAATGTCAATCGCTCACATAGGATTGATGAGGCTGGAGAAGAACTTGTGGTGGCCAAACCAAAACCAATATGGCTTTATCAGTCAATGAAATCCATAACAGTTAGTCTAAGGCTGCTAGTCAGTTATGTGGGGAGGCGTAAACTTCATGATTATTTGATTGAGGTCTTCGGGATGGTGATATGAACCAATGGCAGCCTAAGACAATTGGTGGATTGTCTTAAAGTCATAGTTCTCAATAGTAGCGCAGATGCATTCACTTTTTGTGACGAACTGTATTGTTCTTCTTTCTGCATAATGCTACTCTATTTCCCTCACTCAAATTTGTGTTTTCCTTATGTGTATTTTGACTTTCTCTCTTCTTACAGTCTTCTCAACTACAGATGGAACTGAAGAGAATATCAAAGCGAGGATTGGGAAAGCAAGGCAAGCTTTCATTTCTCTCAAGTCTATGTGGAGGTCAACAGCACTCCTTAGCATGAAAAATAAGATCCAGATTTTTAACTCCAATGTGAAGTCAGTGCCACTTGCTATACGGATCAGAGACTTGGCGCTGTGCCGCGTCACGAAGGGCACTACGAACAAACTACACACCTTCATCAACAGCTGTATTCGCTCGGTATTACTTAAGATTAGATGACCGGCCAAAAAAGATCAGCAATAGTCAGGGATCACTGGCAATGAGCGAACCAAGGTAGCAGGAACCAATTGTGCAAGGAACCAAAATCAACGGTTGGAAACAATTGGTGATATGGCTGAAAATAGTTCTCAATGGCTGGCTAAGATGCATCCACTCCTTGTGACTTAGGATTTCCAATGAAACTGTTTTGTTCTTCGTTATTACTATTCCTTTGTCTCACACCTCTGTTTACTGTCTCTAATATGCATTCCTTGTACTTTCTTCTCTTGCTTTGTGTGCTACATGGAAGGAGTGTGGCGACTTGAACTGGTGCACATTTGTGCAAAGTTCTATGTCGAAAACAGACAGACAGACATTGTGCGAGAAATCTGCAGAAAGAAATGGAGGTGGATTGACTGGTCATACTCTGAGAAAACAAACCACCATCAAGTGAGTGACATCACACGCCAGGTCATCGCTCAGGTGGAACCTGAACGGGAAGCGGTGAGTTATTCGTCAGTTCGAGGGTGACATGGAGGAAGAGGTGATGTGAAGAGGAGATGAAAGCATGTGGGCAGACGTGGAGCCAGGTGAAAAGGTTGACAGAGAAGGGAACGCAATGGAGACGTTTGGCTGAAGCCCTATGTTCCTCTAGGAACTAAAAGAAACAATAATAATGATATATAATACTGTCTTCTCTTGTTTGTGTGATATATGGAGGGAGTGTGACAACTTGAACTGCTGCACATCTGTGCAACGTTCTCTATGCTGAAACCAGCCAGTCGGTCAGACACTTTTTCCCAATTCAATTCATGTATATTTTATTTAACATTGCTCGAGGTAGAAGACGACAGCTTGGCAAGACTCAAATCACCAGCTTTGTGTCATAGATATGAATTCAATTACCACTTTGGTTACACACACACACACACACACACACACACACACACACTCAAAAGAAATAAAGAGACAAACAAACAAACAGGTAAACAAAAACATAATTTAAATAATTCATTTTATATAACACTTACTGCATTAGGCAATCTTAAGAATTCTGTTGCTGTACGCATACCCTCAGTGAATTCTAAAACAGCTTCAGGTGTTGGATTAATCGGTGGTAGGATCTCATCCGCATCATCCCAAAAGGATGGATCATCAAAGCTTATAAATTGATGACTATTTTCATTAGATACTGTGACAACTATTGGTCTGGTTGTAGTGTCAGAGACAGTAACCGCAGTCGTAGCGGTGGAGTTGGTATTAGTAGTCGTAGTCGTAGTAATAGTGGTAGTACTAGGAGAACTTGTACTTGTCGTCGATGTCACTGAAGCATATACACCTGAAGAAACTGTCGTTCTAGAAGCAGTTGTTGATTCACTCGATGACTTGCACAAATCCACCTGAGATACAGTTGTTGAAGAAGAGGAGACTGGTGAGAAAATAGACACGGCAGAAGAACAAGACGAAGAAGAAGAAGAAAAGGATCGCTGAGAGACTGATGACGAGGAAGAATTATGATGAAGAGGATGATTGACACCGGATTTAGGAGATTGATGCGACTGATGGTTTTGTTGTTGCTGTTGTAGTAGCGATGGTCGTGTTTGTTGTGACAGTTGTTGCTGTTGTTGTTGTTGTTCCTGAGAATAAGAGAAAATTTTATCATCTAGTAAACGAGATGTACAAAAGGCGCTAGATGATTGTGACATAGATGACGACTGTTGTTGGTGTTGTTGGGGATGGTGGTGTTGATGGTGTGGAATTGATTTTATCATTTCATAATCTGAGCTTCGATCACCACTATTATGATTACTATTGTTGTTATTATCCACTAGTGTAGATTCATTAACACGATTCAATGCATGCCATTCTAAAGCATCATAGATACCAGAACGTCCACCATTTGAGTAGTGTCGAATCAATTGAGAAGAATCATTCATTAATGATGATGGTCTCTGAAAGCGGAATAAATAAAGGTAAGTATTTATTACTTTGTATCACTAATAATAGTAATAATAATAATAATCACTTTACTCCGAACAACAGTCATTATACACATTGCAACAGTTTAACTCCTAAGTAAAGCTTCCATAAGCCCTTCAACCTCCCCCCCCCCACACACACACACTAGCATTACTGAGAACTTCAACGCCGCCCATCGTGAATTCTGCTTCATAATGACAGAAAGAGGCGACATTGAAGGATATACTCAACTGTGATTAAACCCTGTCACGGAGTGAAGTGAAGTTGACTCACTAGCCTGAAGAATAATAGTACTAACTGTAGTACAGAAGCAAGATGAAGAAGGTGATCTGAGTAAAGCAGAATGATGCTAAGGAAGGCTTCACGTGCTTTTGGAAGTGTGTGGGCGGATGCTGCTTCCCGGCTGCCCACACCGTGGGAGTTGATTGATTCTTCAGGTACCTGAAACAGAAAGAGGGTTAGTGTCGCGTGAATGCAGAGCCCAGGGGACAAGTGCTTGAGACCGGTCACACACAGCCTGTGTGAATTGGTTTCTGGGATTAGTTCAGTATTAGTAAACTTACCGCCGGTTACCGACCAACGTAGGTGGGGTAAGTCGGGATGTATAATTTTCGGGGTGGATCTTTTCTAACCGCCTCTCTCCGCAGTGGAGAGACAGCATAGCTGGTATGCTGGTCATCTGAGGGAGACATCTCACTGCCGTTACATCCCTGTTCCCCAGCAGTACGATTTCGCCCACTGCTTTTAGTCTAATCGCTATCCTAACAACCTTCTGGCATGGTAGGACCTGCAGGAACAGTGGTTCCAGCCAGCGCAACTTGTTGGGTCATCGCGGTGTGCAAGCCCGACTACCACGTCAAGGTAGCAGCAGCTATCGGTCGGGTGATTATACCCTAAACCCTATAACCCTAGCGGATGCGTACTGACGAAGAGTTCCGAGTGCTACGGTGACGGAAACAGCTGTCCAGTACTCCCGATTGATTTTCTAGTTCATGATGAAATCCTGCGACCAAGTAATCAAATCCCTGCAAACCAATACTTGAATATACAGATTAATTCATGAGATGTATAGATGTTGGAAGGAGGTGTAAAGGACTATAGGACTAGTAGGCAAACTGGATAAAAATAGAAACGTTTCGTAATGTGATGTAAGCTTTGATAGCATAGAATTTGACCTTGCAAAACAAAGTCGACTTGGAATGACAAGTGAAACGAGTGAAATAATACCGGGGACAATTCAAAGTGTAAGTCGTATTAGCAATGGTGACAACTGACGTAATGACGGAAAGGTATACAAAGTGAATAAACAAAACAAAAATTAAGTAAAGACAAAATATGATTAGGGATTAACATACTTCAGCATAGAGGAATTAAGACTATGGAAGTTGGGGTGGGTGATGGCGTTGAATGCTGAACTTTTTCTGTATACACATATCTGGTTACTATGTTTCGATGGCCAAAGATAGCTTCAGCAATACAGATGAGTCGGATACGTAATGATTAGGGTAAATTACTTTCCAACCTGTAGATGACGTCAAAGGCTGAGGTTGTAGAGATAGGGGGATCGTCATCGACCAGTTGTTCAATGATTGTGGTTCTTATTTACTCCACACTTCCACCTCTTCATAACCATGCAGAGTCGTAATTTAGCAAACTCTTGGACAAATGCCGAGTCAAACAACCGATAACACAACCGAAACAAGTAATATCACGTCATATATCATAATAAAATCACCAGTGTCATTATTCTCTTACCCAAACCGCTTCTCACAACGTGAGGTAATAAAAAAGTTTAGTTATTACTATAAATCGAAAAGATTGTGATGTCAAGAGAGCACACACACTCTACAGACAATTTAGAGAACGCACCTCTCAAACACTATCATCTTTGATCATAGCTGCCGGCGTTCTGTCTCCCCTGTTAAGTGGTGGCGTAATAGGGTGAGCAACATTGAGGTTAGGCGCCGGTCGAGTGCTAGGTAAGGAGGGAAGGGGAATCAATAGACGAGGCTATGAATTAACATCTGCTGACTACGATGGTTAGGACATGTATTACGCATGAATGCCTGTCCTAGCCATAGCCTTCCTCGACAGAAGGGCAATGGTAGCTAACATAGGATGGGTTAGATTGGAAAAGAGCTACTAGTGGTGGTCAAATGAAAACATGGCACCAGTCAATGAAATCCACAACAGTTAGTTTAAGCCAGCCAGCCAGTTACGTGGGAAGGTGTAGACTCGCTGGCTGGTTGGGTTCCTTGGGACAGTAAACACCAATGAAGGATGGGGACAGTTGGTGATATGGCTCAAAGTGATCGTTCTTAATGGCTGGCGAAGATGCATCCACTCCTTGTGACTTACAATTTCCAATGGAACTGGACGATGACATTAAGAGTAGAACGCATACAGTATTAGTGCCATTCGGATTGATTCAACTCAATGAGCTAATTAAGTTCAAACCATTCGAAGTCTAGTTATAGTTACTTATGAGAAATAGTAATACATAGAATCAAATTCACAATTTGGAATATTGGAACAATTCGAGGTGAGGATTCATCATCATGCTTTATGACGGTTTGTAGGAATTTAAAAAACATCACAATCAACTTGACTAGTAGTAGCGTCTATCATGTTCTCCACACACACACACACCCGCCCACCGCAACAACAGGGACATATCAATCGTGATACTACTTTCGCATTCATCAATATAGGCCTTCACAGTTTGCTGAATAACCAAGCGTACTGAAAAAAATCTTTTAGCCCATCTCAGTAGGCCACCTTCTCAAATCTTTTCTGTAATAGTACACCACTTCCCAGTGCTACCCTGGATGTATAGATATATAAGATATCCAAGTAGAGGTAGACTTTCCGCTACCAATAATAATAGTAGTAATAATTTTATTTCAGACATTAATAATTATACGGGTATGAAATTTTCAAAGTTTGAAGATATTGCAACAATTTGGCTCATTTTATAAATTATTATCTTATTTTTTTTTAAAAAACTTTTATTCCTTTACGTTGTCAGTGGAACATAGGGAGGCTTCCAGGTAGAGTTTTCGAAGTTTCTGTAGCAGTGGTGATTATTTTTACGAGATGGGGTTGCTAACCTGCCGCATGCCTAACCTTCCCTCTTTACCAGTCTTACTGCTGGCTTAGTGAGGCAAAGGAGTGAGCCGGCAGCCTACAGCCACGCTCAACCTGCCGAACATCTAACACCTCCCTGAATGGAATATAGACACAGGTCCTCCGTCCCTAACTGAGGTTACTAAAGCTGTCACCAATCTGAAACTAGGCAAAGCAGTGGAACCTCATGGAATGACTCCAGAGGTATTTAAGTACGGTGGAGAAAGTTTACCCTCTGCGTTAACTGAGGTACTAGGAAGCGTCTGGGAATCAGAGGAAGTCCCATAGGGTTGGTGTAAATCACTGATTATCCCCATATACAAGAAGGGAGACAAGCCTCCCTGTGATAATCAAGAAGAATTAGCTTGACTAATATAGTATCTAAAGTTCTAGGCTTGATAATCATGGGTAGACTAAGTGGTGCTCGGGAGGCACAAACACGAGAGAGCCAGGCAGGCTCTAGACCAGAAAGAGGGTGGGTGTATTGATCATATCTTCACCCTCCGACAGATTCTAGAACATAGGCATTCTTACCGGCGGCCAACAATCATTATATTTCTTGACCTAAAGGCGGAATTCGATTCTGTCGACCGAGAGGTTCTCTGGCGGTGCCTGGCTGTAAAGGGAATCCCGAGAAAATACATTGCAGTGACCAAAGAAGTCTACGCAAACTCATGCAGACAGCGAGTTGTCATCTGAAGTGGTGACGACTAGTGGTGTCTGTCAGGGATGCCCACTATCCCCATTTCTGTTCAATTTCATCATAGATGTACTAATGGATTTAACCCTAACTCACTTCAGCGACTCAGGCATTGACTTGCTACCAGGGAATAATCTCGCTGACTTAGAATATACAGATGATATAGTCCTTCTCCCTCTAGGTGAAGACACAGACAAAATACACCAGAGTCTTCTGGACACTTTGAACTGAACAGCAATTTGTGAGTGTTTGGTATGCGATCCGCTCCCGCCAAATGTAAGGTGATGAAGCTACACGACTGAACCACACTGCCTCCTAGTTCAGGAATAGGAAGTGGAGTGGTAGAGCACGTTGACCGCTTCACTTATTTGGGAAGTACCATCTACCAGTGCCAACGGGGTGATCTCTGCCGAAATCTCAGCAGGGATACAGAGGACTAGTTTCGCATATGCCAGTTTACGCCACCTCTGGCGTAGATGTGATATCCGGATATCGACCAAAAGGTGGATGTACTACTCAGCAATCCGCTCCGTCCTCCTTAATGACTGTGCAACCTGGCCATTGAGAGTGAAGACCTGAAAAGATTAGCTGTATTTGATTATAGGTGCCTGCGCTTTATCTCCCGTATGAAGTGGTATAATAAGGTGAGCAATATTGAGGTTAGACGGCGATCGATTGGTAGGTAAGGAGGGAGGAGAAATCAACCGACGAGGCTGAGATGTTTAGGATGTGACTAATCATCGCCTTCCTCGACGAGCAATGTTAGCGGATATAGGGTCAGGCTGAAAAAAAGCTAGCGGCAGTCAAGCAAAAACTTGGCACCAGTCAATGAAATCTACAACATTTAGTTTAAGCCAGCCAGTCACGTAGGAAGGTGTAGACTTCCTGGTTGGTGTCCTCGGGACGGTAAAAACCAATGGTTGGAAACAATTGGTGATATGGCTGAAAATAGTTCTCAATGGCTGGCTAAGATGCATACACTCCTTGTGACTTATGATTTCCAATGAAACTGTTTTGTTCTTCGTTATTACTATTCCTTTGTCTCACACCTCTGTTTACTGTCTCTAATATGCATTTCTTGTACTTTCTTCTCTTGCTTTGTGTGCTACATGGAAGGAGTGTGGCGACTTGAACTGGTGCACATTTGTGCAAAGTTCTATGTCGAAAACAGACAGACAGACTCCACTCATAACGAACCGTATAAACTGTAAATCGTAAATTAATTTGTACACTGCACAACTGATCGAGTTTGTCTGAATAAATAGTTAGGCATAAATAGGGTGGATAGTTTGAACTAGTTCAGCACCGCTGGTTTTTGTGGCTGGTATACATCTACTCAAATCACAACCAACCAGTAGTATATGGCTTCATGAAAATCCACATGACTAGTATAACTGAAATAAGCGATAGAACTAAAAAAACACATGAAGTAGTTTTGTACTTCATGTACTACATGACAGCTTGCATGGTTTCAAACGTCAGTGTTATCCACTAGATCACTTGCACAATAGGTGAGCCAAGTGGTCTAGTGGATAACGCTTTGGCGTTTGAAACTATGAGGGCATTGGGTTCGAGACTCGGTGGGAACACCATCAATTACAGTAGAGTGCAGGCACATCCAGTTGACGAGTCCCAAATAGGACGAAATGCGCATCCTGGTTGGATTCTATTGCTAGTCACCATCGAATAAATAAGAATACATGAACTGAAAAAGAATTTTAAGGTTTGTAATAATGAACTCTTTTTTAGGGTTAAAGACACTGTGGTATGTGCTACTGATAAGATTTTTCACTAGTATGCAGACAGAGATTGATAGGGGAAGTAGTCAAAATTGAAAACCACATTTTAAGACAAAGACGACAGAAGTAGAAGTTCAAATACTGGTTTGCAGGGATTTCATTATAAGCTGACATAAATCAAAGAAACATTGGAAAACCAGCTGGGGGTTGGTGGGGATACTGTACAGCCGTTTCCTCCCAGTCCTGGGGACTCTTCGTCAGTACGAACCTACGGATTGGACTTTGAACCAAGAACCTCCCGGCTACAGTTTTCCAGTACTCCCAGCTACTTACTCCTTAAATTTAAATTTAGCTTACGTTGTGGCCGGGAAATAATCTCACTGGACAGCTAACTTTTCGTCTCAATGTTTAACCTTGAAAAAATCAACAACCAATCAGAATAGTTTTACTATCCACAGTGAAATATAATACCAATGAGTGGCGGGAAAATTTTCAAAATAAAACTTACCATTTGTATATTCTTAAATAATAATTGTGATTTTAAACTGTTTGATAACCGATACGAATTAATCGATGCTTCATCAAGAATTGATTCATCCAATTTCATTGAGTGTGCTCTAGATGCAGGAGTTATAGAATCCTCACAATCATTATTATTACTATTACTATTATTATTATTGTTAACAAGTGTATAACAGCTCGGTGATAGCTGTGTAGTACATTTGACAATATCTTCACTATTATGATCTAATAATAATCGATTATGATTGTTCATTAAACCAGGAGGCATAGATGAAGCAGCTGAGGAGGCTGCAATGGCCGCTGCTGCCGCCGCCGCGGATGATGATGCTGAGGACGATGATGACTGAGGCAGAAAGAATAATAAGGACAATGGTGGGGCTTGAGATTGACTCGACTTTCCACAATCATTAGATGACAATAATAATGCCGCCTCGTGTTTCAAGGATGACGATGAGGTGTTCGTCGGGGTCATTGTATCTGGACTATACTTAGGACTACAGTTATTATTATTATTATCATCACTTTGACTAAGATGACGAAAATGATTTATTGAATTATTTAACAGGAGATCAGAACTACTGACAACACCACCGGGACCGGTAACGTGAACGCCATTGCCAACGCCACAGCCGCCCCCGGTGCTACTACCTACAGTAGCATACTGATGACCAGCGCCACCACCGGCACCACTACTGTAGACAACACACGATGAAGAACTTTGTCCAGGTGACAAAGCATCCATTGAAGTTGACGAAGAAGAATTGCCTCTTATGGCTTGTAATTGACGAATTTCAATGGCACAATGAAATTTCACAGCATTCGGTTGACGACCAATTCGACTGCCTAAATAAATAAATAAATAAAAATGGGAAAATGATGATACCAAACAGTTTAGCAACAAAAAAGTGGATATCTACATCATTTATCTAATATTATATTATTATTATGGCTTATAACTTAATTGGTGGATGGTGGAATCCAGCCACGATGCGCGTTTCGTCCTATTTGGGACTCGTCAACCAACTGGATGTACCTGCATTCCGCAGCGAGTGATGGTGTTACCACCGGGGCTCGAACCCAGTGTCCATAGTTTCAAACGTCGAAGCGTTATCCAATAGACCACTTGAGCCACGAGAGCCACCTCTTTTGCAACGAGTTATATTAATTAAATTGAAGCCGACATGTCAACACCTATGACCGAGCACTTCGGTCCAATCAATCGACGGGAAAATCAAAAATTCAATTAAATTAATATGGCTTATATTGGGTTGTAAGTAAAACAAAGGGTTCGAAAAGCACACCTGCGTTTCATTTTATTTTCCTCAGTTTACTTTAGCCAAGCTGCAGCACAATTGCCCACAATCTTTCATTTACCACGCATGTGATCCTTTTCATGTCACTCTCTTGAACACTCGATTAGTTGTGTTTTAGCCATACACACAGCTTCCAATCGAGGACCCAGTCGATGTGTTTATTTATCGGGTGGCAGTTCTTTGGTTGGTTCCTTGTTTGCTTCGTTATCTTTTCTGGGTCAGCTATCTGGTCTACAGTATCAAGCCAGTAGTCTGTTGGAATAACAATTTTTATTTTTTTTTAATTTTTTATTTACAGCTTGATACCACACTGTATTTTTGGTACAAGTATGGAATTTTCAGCATGGATATCGGTAGCCCAAATTTTTCAGGCCGACCATAGATATCAGGTGTGCGCCGGCGTGGGCTCGAACCCCGGACCATGTGCATGGTGGGCGAGAGTCCTAACCACTGTGCCACCGACGCACAACATCAACCTTTATTATTATTGTTCTTCTTATATTTATAATCCTCTCAATTTTTTTGGTTTTTATTTGTTTATTTTTTCATAAGTGTGAACATCGTGCAAGCTGTGTTATAACTGTTAATTTTGTATTTCCCCTCACCACGCTGCTATATCAACAGAACATTAGATTCAATAATTTATAACATGCTTAAATTTCCAAACTGAATCGACAATACTGTTTGAAACAAACTCACTGTTATTGTTATGATTACTATGGTATTTAATATTCTCAAATTCCTCTGGTTATTTTGCTTTAAACCACCGAGAATACCCATTGAATCATGAAGAAAATAAAAGACAAATTCAGCGAAGAAAATTTTCTTTATCGACGAAATCATCTTCACAGGCTGTGCTGTACAGTCGTATTTATACTTACAAAAAATATATAGCGGTCTGTTATTGAGTAATCGAGGAGGGGGTGACATAATTGACATAATTACTCAGAAGTGGCTTTAGAAGTGAAAATTAATCAAGTTGTAAATTACGTGGTACTCAACCGCACAAAGACAGAAGTTTGATAAGGTTAAAATTGCCCTTGAGTGAGTGAGAATAAAGGTGGTAGTTGAGTGTCAATTTAACAAGTGCGAAGAGGGTGTGAAATGTACAGAAGATGTACAGATGAGATCTTGAAGAATCGCTGCCTATGCAGATCACTGAGGAAAGCCTTCTTTATGGCTGAGCTACGTATCCATTTTTACAGCCGACAAATGATCAATGGATATGTGAAGGATAAACTGACGCTTTGGATGGGACACTTCAGTGTGTGTTTATAAATTCATCTGCTCGTGTGAAGCTAGTTATATTGGCCGCACAAAGCACACACCTTCCAAATGCATCTTTGAACATTATCCGGCATGGTTAGCAAAGGGACAGTGCAAGACAATTACTAGCTCAATTCACGAGCATTTGTTAAACTCAGGTCACGTAGCTCCACCAGAGTCGTCTTTCAATACCATCTACAAAGTGAAGCAAAATGGTGGTACAAAGGGCGTCAGGTTTCGGCTTTTGTGTATGGCGGAGGCGATGGCAATTCGTCAATACAACCCTGAACTCTCTATATAGAAAAAGTTTGTCCAGTCTGTTATTCTACCTTGGTCTTAACCTCTTCACAAGTCATTCCCTGTAAAAAAAAATTTAATTTATATTTACTTTTTTTAATTTTTAATTTTACTTTTAGTTTGCTTTTGCTTTAATAATTAATTCACTATTATCACTCTCATATGCTCCTTCTGTACATTTCACACCCGCTTCACACTTGCTAAATTGACACTCAAATACTACCTTTATTCTCTCTCACTCAAGGGCAATTTTAACCTTATCAAACTTCTTTGTGCGGTTGAGTACCATGTAATTTACAACTTTTAATTTTCACTTCTAAAGCCACTTCTGAGTAATTATATCAATTATGTCACCCCCCTCCTCGATTACTCAATAACAGACCGCTATATATTTTTTGTAAGTATAAATACGACTGTACAGCACAGCCTGTGAAGATGATTTCGTCGATAAAGAAGCATTTTCTTCGCTGAATCTGTCTTTTAATTTGGCTTTAATTTTATTTCTATTTTGAGTAAATCAGATCCAATGTGGTGAAAAATGCTGAGAATTCCATTCTGTATTATAGGTACTGTTTTCGGAATAAAGTAAATTATATATATATATATATATATGTGCGTCGGTGGCACAGTGGTTAGGACTCTCGCCAACCATGCACATGATCCGGGGTTCGAGCCCACGCCGGCGCACACCTGATATCTATGGTCGGCCTGCGAAATTTGGGCTACCGATATCCATGCTGAAAATTCCATACTTGTACCAAAAATACAATGTGGAATCAAGCTGTAATCAAAAAATAAAAAAATAATAATATATATATATATATATAACAGTGAAGTTAGTGAAATGGAACACTATGAGACTGACTTTGTTGAATAACCCTAACTAATACAGGCGTATCAAGCTTTGATTTGCAAGAATTTGAATTTATGCGTGTTTGGATTGGGTCCAAAATGGCCGAATGGTCTATAAGCTCGCCTTGTAACTGAAAGTTCCAAGTTTCAACCCCTGTTAGGTGCATACTAACGGGAGGAGTTCTAAACTAGGATGAAACAGCTCTCCAGTACTTCCTGGTGGTTTTTCAATATTTCCCCCCAAACGATATCAACTCATGATCAAACGCATAAGTAATAAGGATTAAATTAAGAAAAATCTGAGTCGCAGAAAGATTCAAATCCGTGTAGCTTCCGAATCATCAGCTGAGATGCAAACTTTGGGTTGGGTTATATAGAAGTTGGATGAAATATCATCGGGTTAGTGATTCAGAGGCTTTTGATTCCACCTCCTCACTATCAATCAGTACCCGAACTACCTTCAAAAGTTACCCCATGAATGAAAGTTAAAGAGTTGGAGATAATCAGCGGGTTGCTAATGGATAACCCACGTAGATTAACGGAAAGGTATTACTGAATATACATGCAGAGATACTGATCACAAGAAGAAGATATAAACACACACACACCATCATTGTAGAGCTGTCGTTCATTGGTCTAGATGTTCCACTTGCAATCAATCGTTGTCTATCTGTCTGTTTTCGACATAGAACTTTGCACAAATGTGCGGAAGTTCAAGTCGCCACATTCCGTGTAGCACGCGAAGCAAGAGAAGAAAGTACAAGAAAAGCATAATAGAAACAGTGAGCAGAGGTGTGAGACAAAGGAGTAATAAAGAAAAACAAAACAGTTTCATTGGAGATCATAAGTCACAGGGAGTGGATGCATCTGCGCCACTGAGAACGGTTTCGAGCCATGTCACCAATTGTTTCCAACAATAGATTTTTACAGTCCCGAGGACCCCAGCCAGTCAGGAAGTCTACACCTTCCTACGTGGCTAAGACCAACTGTTGTGGATTTCATTGACTGATGCCAAGTTTTTGTTTGACCGCCGCTAGCTTTTTTCCAGCCTGACCCTATATCTGCTAACATAGCTCGTCGAGGGAGGCGATGACTTGGCATACGTAACACATGTCCTAACCATCTCAGTCGATGTAGCTTCACGACTTCGTCGATTGATTTCCCCTGTTTACCTAGAACTCTACGCCTAACCTCCATGTTGCTCACCTTATTGGGTAGCAAGTTTGAAGCCCACTTCATAATCTATAATTAAAGTTTGGATAGTTGAGGTAAGGTAATATCACTCACTCACTCACTCACTACCTCTTACACACAATGAACGTCGTTCAATGCCTACTGTACATAGAATTGCATGCTAGTAATTTCTGAATAATACTCATCTGTTCAGGCATACACCTTTATACAGGGGGACAAACAAACAAATACTCAAAGACAGCATAATCATTGAGAACAGTGTGAATAGCAATATACTCTGCAGATTGGAAGGGGGTAGGAAATAGAATAACTTCCAGCTGGTTTCCTAATGGTTTTCTCTAACTGATATCAGCTCATGAAGAAATCCTCCAACGCATCAAACTAAAAAATCCCTACAAAAACCAATACTTGAAAATTCATCTGATGCTAACTAGTGACTGGCCCTAATCAGACAGTGATCTGGAATCCTATTGGGAAGCCGTGACCAGTAGGATACAACAGGTTGAAAGTGAGGCAATAACTCATCGAAGAAGACATTGCGAAGTGGTCGCGCTATGTCGTGCGTGAATTGACAGAAGTTAGAATTCATGAGAAGGTCACTGAATCGGTTTAGAGCTCGCTGGCCTTGTAACCAGAAGGTCCTGGGTTCGAACCCCAATAGGTAGATGCTTACTGTTGAAGAGACCCAAGCACTAGGACAACGGAAACAGCTGTCCAGTATTCCTAACTGGTTTTCTAATAGTTCTCTAACTGATGAGTCAGCTCACGAGGAAATCCACCAACCAATCAAACTAAATCCCTACAATAACCAATACTAGAATAGTGACAAGCTCACCTAATATGCATGTAATTACACAATCGATATACCAATACGAAAATGCAAACAACAATAATAATAACAATCGGTGTTCGATAGGCTGTAGGCATACTGAATAGTGAAATGCATGTTTGTAGGTGTGTGTGTGTGCATCGGTTTTTATTTGAGGGATGCATATATATATGCATTGTTGATGGGTATATCAACACACACACACACAGACACACACCCATAAACACACACAAATACACACAAACAGAGGGACTTTGTATACAAAACACAAAAAAAGTGATCGCGCACTAGGTCAAGGCCAACACTGTCGAGTTTGTGAAAAATTCAATGAATAATAGTAATAATAATAATACTGATAGTAATCGCAGTGAAAAATAATACTGATAATAGTAGTAGTTAGTACTGACAAAAATAGCATAATTTCAACAACAACAACAACCAATAAGCATAGCTAGACAAAAATGTTTACAACGCTTAACTGGACAATATTCAAGGTTATTATGATTTACGTGGTGATTGATCGAAGAAAATAACAACAAAACAACACAGTGGGATAATAATTTTTATTTAAAAAAAACGACATAACAATAAATACATAAAAACCATATATTACAGTGGATTTATTTATGAATTCAATTTGGAATTTCCACTTGGTTCAGACTGACATGTCGCCTCCAATGTGAGGATGACGCTTCAAACGATATCTAAGACTGTATGAAGGCCTGGTGTAATCTAGTGTATGATGAATGACCAGGAGTGGAATCCGAGACATTGTGCGTTTCGTCCCATTTGGGACCCATCAACCTGCATTCATCTCAGTGACTGAGTTACTGATGGTGTGTCGCCATTGAGGCTGAGACGCAGGACTCGTCGTCTAAACAGAGGTCGAACAGTTGGACCAAGTCAATCGAAAGGAAATTCCTAATTGAATTGAATAACACCTGATACCCGTTGCACGAGAGGTGAATAATGGCTCTCAAGACCCAAGTGGTTGTTTAGTGGAACTATGGGTACTGAGTTTGTGCCTCAATGGGAACACTAACATTCATTGAGGAATACGCAGGTACATCTGGACGACAAGTCCGAAATAGGACGAAGTGAATCCCACCGCTAGTCACCATTAACAAAATATAAAATATAAATTCAGATTATGGGTTTCTGTAGGTATTTCTATTCATTTCATTTGTTGCATTTCTTCATGAATCGAAATCAGTTGAAGAGATCATTAGGAACCAGGGGGTACTACATAATTGTTTCACCCAATCACGACCCCTCCAGGGATAGAACCTGAGTCTCTCAAGTTATGAAGCCAATCTTGTTGGCCATTCAGCCACCTGAGTTGGAATTTTAACTTTGTCAATTTGTGATATAGTGGTATCCCCGCCTCCTCTCTACCCCCATATGCCTTCGACGAGCTTTCACTTGATTTTGAAGTGGCGGACTCCTCTGGTCATGACTTCTCATTAAAGCCCCACGACATTCATCTAGCATAGAATGACAATGAGATAATGCGAATTGTGGGAGTCAGTATTCATTTCAGTTGTTAGATATGATCATGGACCAACATTAGATAGAGAGATCATTGAAAGCTGCCAGGGAGCACTGCACAGCTAGCGTCCACTTCACCGCCAGGGATCGAACCTAAGACCTTCAGGTTACAAAAGATTGAGCCCTTTTCATCACTGATTTCTCTAAATGATATTGATTTGTGACGAAATGTATATTAAAAGAATGTTTCAATGAAAAAATAGTCAGTGTGAGAGAGAGAGAGAGAGAAAGGGAGAAAGACTAAATATTTACCTTTCTTAGACATTCCAGCTGTTAAACATCGACGAAAACGACAACTTTTACAGGCATTTCGACTTCGTGGAGTTATTGTACACGCATTCTGTCCACCAACACAGACTAACGAGTTAGCTGAGCCTTCGGTACGACGAAAGAAACCCTAAAATTAAAATACACAAAAAGTCAATCAACTGTCAGTCTGTATTCATTTAAAGAAAAGAAATGATGAGACACAAATGTTAGTGATGGTTAGCAGCAGTAGAATGCAGGAGGACGCGTTTCATCCCACTGAGAACTTGTCAGCTTGATGTAATTGTATCACTAGTGTGTGATGGTGTTCACATTAAGACTTTATCAGTCTAGCATCAGTCAGTCAGGTCAGTTGTTATCGGAAGTAAGAGTGGCGGGTTCGAGGATCAGGTGGAACACTAACATAGTTACTTGGGCATGTGTATGCATATCTATCTAGCTGATAAATCTCAAAGTGGATGTAATCCAAGTAGTAGATTCCAGTGCCAGCTAGCACCGATCATACAACATAATGCACATCTCAAAGCATCTCTGAAGTATCCGTACTAGAAGCGACCGACATAACAACAGAGATAAAGCACTTCACTTAGAGGGAAATTGAGAATAGATTCAACATATACTTTTACCACTGTAAATCTATGAAAATGAAATGGAACACTTCCACCCCCTCTTAATTCCTTCACGTTCCTAGTGGAAAATAGGGCTTCAAGCTAGAGACTTGAAGTTTCGCTAGCAATGGTGTTTATTTTTATGGGATGGGGTTGCTAGCCTGCCTCACATCCAACCTTCTCTCTTTACCAGTCTTATTACTGCCTTAGCGAGGTAAAAGAATACGTGGGTGACCGGGGATCGAAACCTGGACCACATGAGACGTGACTGGCGAGCATTCGACAGCTGCGCCACCAACGCTTAGAGAATGTACAAACAGTTACCTCTTGAGACTCGAGTGACACAATTTTCGGTTTATATATATATATATATATATTGTGTGCGTCAGTGGCACAGCGGTAGAATGTCCGCTAACCACGCCTCATGTGGTCCAGGGTTCGATCCGCGGCTGCCGATGCACTCCTTTACCTCGCTAAGCTAGTAATAAGATTGATAAAAAAGCGAGGTAAGGCATGAGGTTAGCAACCTTATCCCGTAAAAAGAAATCCTACTGCTATCGAAACTTCAATCCTCTAGCTTGAAGCCTTAAGTCCCACTGGGAACGTAAAGAATATATATATATATATATATATATATGCTTCACACTGTAAACGTAACTAAACACCAACGAGATTTTTCCAGATGTCTCCCGTCATCAAAAATTGACGCTTGTCAGAAATCGACAGTTATATCGATTAAAACAAGCAGGAGGACTTGATGGAACCTAAGATTTTAGATACATATAACTTGCTGATGAGTGCTGACAAGCATCAAGACCTAGGTCTAGGGATCTGGCTTTCTGTAGATTGCCTCCAACTACTCACTACCGAACAGAAAACACAACAGACTGAATTGGTAATGAGATTCCAATCTATTGCTCTCAGTTTATCAGACAACACAATGATTCTTCTCTTTTGTTAATCAGAATTGACCACTTTTGTGTGTGTGTGTGTGTGTGAGTAGTCATTATTTATTCTATTATCATCTCAAGATATTATCACAGTTAACATCAACAATGTTATCGTGTTGTTTTAACTTTCTGTTTTTTGTATCACTAAAAAGCTTCATAGAGGAGTATGAAGGGAGGTAGAGTGCGTCGGTGGCACAGTGCGGTAGAATGCTCGCCACAACCACACCTCCTCATGTGGCTCGTGGTTCGATCCCCAGCCCAGCCACCAACGTACTCCTTTACATCGCTAAACGAATGACAAGACTGGTAAACAAAGAAGACAGGATATGTGAGGTAGGCTAGCAACCTCATCCTGTAAAGTAATAAACACCACTGCTACTGAAGCTTTGAAAGCTCCAACTGGAAGCCTTCCTATGTTCCATTAGGAACGTAAAGAAGGGAGGTAAACAGGTGAGTGGATTAAATCAACTCATAGAACCCATAGAAGATTAAATGAAGGAAAAAAGAAATAAAGAATAGACACATACAACACTTAACACTAAACCAACTTACTTTGCATCCTTCACACGTTAAAGCGCCAAAATGAAATCCAGACGATCGACCACCACATACACGACAAGGAATATTTGATATATCAATTTCTGATTGAGTTTCTGGATCTAGATGATAATTTTGAACAAAAAAAAAACGTGTGAGCACAAGGTGAGTAAAACAAAAAATAAAGTGCTGAAGACACATATTTGATGAAGAAGAAAGGAAGTTGACACACAAGCTCTGGTTGATAACAATTATCCAAACAAGTTCATCAGGAGATATAAAGTAGTCAGTGGAACACCAAGACCCCCTCTCCAACTCGCCCCTTTAGAAAGACATGTACATCAAGCTACCCTGTATGAGGCAGCATCATAGCAGCTTCATAACTAGACAAAGATTGAACGCTGCGGTTGAAAGGACTTTCTATGCAGCTAATATCATAAGGATTGAGAATGTGAAACCTGTATATCCATCTAAGCCATTTAAACATGCAAAAAATGATGTCACATTCCACTGTATTTATCAATTTGAATGTACATTTGGACACATGCACATACATAGAGAGAGGACTCATCGATCTCTGCAAGTAAGGGCTTCAAAAGCAACTAGAATCCCCGGAACCCATTAATAGTGAAAACAGGAGACCTAACTTCTCTATTGCGAAACATATTATAGAGACCGGACATAAAATTGATGTTTACACATCCTTTAAACCTATCTATAAAGTATGTTTGGGGCGTGTCCTAACGTTTGTGGAATCCCCAACTAGCAGTTAGGAAGTTTAAACCACCTTTATGCGGGCAAAGCAGCAATTTGTCATCACACTAAATCACCTTCCTTGATAAACTTTGTTTTGATACCAGTCAAGGGAGATGTACTATTACCTCTATTATTTGGTTTAGTCATCTTCATTGTTATTTCGACCTTCAATATGTCCTTTTAACTTGACCTGAATTTATTTATTTTCTCACTTCTTAACTCTCTATGAATTTCATATATATTTTGTACTTCTATAACAAGTCCGTGTGTGTGTGTGTGGTCGGACTGTTCGAAATGTGTTGTACGTGAATATCGCTTTGTTTAAATTCATAAAGGGAATTAATTGTTTGAAAATATTGCTTCAGATAATGTTATATTATTTGATGATTCTACCATAAGTGATTAGTACTTTACAGTGAAACTCGTTGAAAACTATGTATTACGTATGAAGGCATTTTTCCCAGAATAAATTCTCGTATAAACTCTCAATGCACGACCTATAGATATATCTGCTAAAAGGGGCCCTAACGGACATCCCATCAACCTGGTGGAAACCATTGCCTTCAAATAAGTAACCTAACATTGCTAGTACACAGAAGTAATAAATCCCTTAAATAAAAAAAACAAGGAACGGAATGAAAATGTTATGCACTCAGGTCAAATGGTTGATCTCTGCTGACTCATACGTCGCGATGTAAGTACATCCAAACGACGAAGCCTAAATAAGATGAAGTACGCATCCTGGGTTCCGTCGTCAGCCGCCAACAACTGACTAACTAACATTGTAAAGTTATTTTACCTAGTGGTGACTAGAAGCGGAAATCCAGGATGTTTGTTTTTCGTCTTATTCAAGACTCTTTAATTCATGAATAATCTCCATCCAGGGCATTAATGAAAAGGAACAAAACCAGTAGTTTCTCAGAGAAGAGGCTCTTTTCGGCAGTTCATTTTCCTTTTTAGCTACACAGTGGCGTTTTTATGAAAGGGTGGTTTGAAACAAATGTCAATCTGAACGAAGAATATTCTTTTCAATAATTTCTCCTCTTCAGGTTCTTACAATAATATAATATAATATTTGTTGTCGTTACAGTAATGATAGTCAGTTATGCGGCGGATACATTTTTTAACGTAGAATAATAGATTAGTAGTTATGGTGTGTCAAAATAAATAGTAGTATTCAAGTGTTGATTTGTAGGGATTTGATTGGTTTCAGGATTTCATCATGAGCTGACAGTAGTTAGAGAACCATTGGAAAACCTGGGAGTACTGGACAGCTGTTTCGTCCTAGTCTGGGACTCTTCAGCAGTACGCACCCACCGGGATTCGAACCCAGGACCTTCCGGTTACAAGGCGAGCTCGTATACCGTTAAGCCACTGGGACCCGATCCAATGGTCCTTGGATTCTAACTTCTGCCAATTCACGATGTAGCGCGACCGCTAGCCAATGTCTTCCTCAAACCAATCAAATCCCTACAAACCAACACTTGAATACCAATAAGATGCTCACTGGCGACTGGCCCTATTCAGGTAGGTAGTTACCTGGGTTCCAGTGGGAAGTCGTGACCAGTAGGGTGCAGCTGGTCGGGTGTGAGGACAAATACTCGCCACTGAAGACATTGGCTAGCGGTCGCGCTATGTCGTGAATTGGCAGAAGTTAGAATCCAAGGACCATTGGATCGGGTCACAGTGGCTTAATGGTATACGAGCTTGCCTTGTAACCGGAAGGTCCTGGGTTCGAATCCCTGTGGGTGCGTACTGATGAAGAGTCCCAAACTAGGACGAAACAGCTGTCCAGTACTCCCAGGTTTTCCAATGGTTCTCTAACTAATGTCAGCTCATGATGAAATCCTGAAATAAATAGTAGTATTTGTGTGACAAACATCGGGATAGGCTGAAATCGATTATAAAATATTTCGGTGAAGTGGGAGACAATGGTGGTGATTAATCAAATAGGTTTGTAGAGTATGGGGTAGGAAAATTGACAAGTCATTTCAAGGCTATAAAAGGTGTCAGGTGAGTGACAGGCTAGTACAAATTGGTATATATTAAACAGGAGATAGTAAGACTGCAATGAGAGGTTCATAATGAAATAACGAATGTGTAAAGTGAAACAGGTGGAGGCATATATTGAGAAAAGAGATAATATCCCTAATAATAAGTCCGGATCGTATACATAGAAATTCGATAGTATTGAGAGAACGTCTGAATGAAGGGTATAAATTGTGACGAATAATAATAACAATAATAATAATAATAATAATAATTGTAATAATAAGCAAAGGGAAAAAACCACGATGGTTAGGGGAAGAGGTACTCTTGGTGAGAAGAAGAATCATCAATCCAAGTTTAGCCACGGTAGGAACAGCGTCTTGACGTGTTCTTTTTGGATACACAGTTCCGGTTTAGTCGATCTTATTGCAACAGATTCAGCTATGTGTAGGAGACGTAAGCGGACTACACGTGATAACGACTTCGGAATTCGGTATACAACGGGTATGTATAACCCTGAAAGCAGTGCTGGCGTCGATGCGATGTCCAATATCGAGCAAGTGTGACAGAAACGAGCTTTTTATGCACTTAATTTCCCCCCTGCTGAACCAAGTTGGTAAATGTTCTCGAACCCGTAGACGAACCTGCCTAATCGTGCGCCCCATATAACTTGAACAACAACAGTTGAAATGGTATATGCATGAAGAAGAGCTAAGGTTAGGTAAGACATCTTTGAGTTGCTGGGTGCACATTGGACGTCTACCGAAGGATAGACACAGACGTGCAGAGTAGAAAGTTATCTTGATCGCCCTGGTTAAACGTTGCGATAAAATCTTCACAGGAGTATCTTCCTTGAATTGTAGACGTAAAAACAGAAGCTTTTTTCTCCACCGTTACCAGTTCATGTTTACGACTGTTGGAACCTATGTTGGCTTTAATGAACTTCTCTAGATATCCGTTCTCGCTTAGAATGTCTCGGATGACCTGGAGTTCTTTCTCTACGCAGTCTTCGGAACAAATAGACCTCGCACCTGATTATATTACGTTTGTATTTCATCGGTACGAAGCTAAGGAAGTGTGTATACTGAGCTTTAGTCTCTAGCTTATCTAAATATGGTTCTTCTGATGGAACCATCCTCTCTTCTCGTTAGTAGTACGTCGAGGAAGTTCGATCCCGTCACACTTGGTCAATACTGGACATCGTATCGATGTCAACACAGCTTTCAGGGTTATATACCGAATTTCAAAGTCGTTTTCCCGTACAGTTCGCTTACTTCTCCTACACATAGCTGAAGCTGGTGCAATAAGATCGACTAAACCGGAACTTTGTAATATATTATTATTTAATTTTAAATATTGTAGATGATTTATTCCATGTCTTGGTGTGACAACCCCTACAGGCGTTTCCCAACCCAATCGTGTCAGCTTAACATAACTCGATACTGTAGATGGTGGTTCGTTTGATATGCGTTACACGTGTCCTAGACATCCTAATCAATGTAGATACTTATCTACCTGGTAGTCATCCATCGAATGATGGTGGCAGTGCGGTAAGACAAATCGAATTCGACATTAATCAGTGCTTGATTCCTACCAAAAAATATAAACATATATGTGTCTTCAGGTTCTTCAGGTGAACATTGAGAAAACAGAGGTGATGAAGATTCCTTGCCGACAGCAACAACAACAACAGATAACAATCAGCATATATGGGAGGGACCTGAAAGAAACAACCTCCTTTACCCACCCACCTGGGAAACATTGTTTCAACTACAGGCCGACGGAACTGACGAGGATATCAAAGCAAGAATCGGAAAAGCAAGTCAAGCTTTCATTACTCTCAAGCCTGTGTGGAGGTCAACAGCACTCAGCATGAAAATGAAAATAAGATCCGGATTTTCAACTCCAATGTGAAGTCAGTGTTACTACACGGATGGATCAGAGACTTGGCACGTCATAAAGAGTATCACAAACAAACTACAGACCTTCATTAACTGTTGTCTTCGCTCAACACTAAAGATCAGATGGCCACCCAGAAAACATCAGCAACAGGGATCTCTGGTAGTGAGCGAACCAACCAGGAACCGATTGTGCAATAAATAAGCAGGAAGAAATGGAGGTGGATTGGCTGGCCATACTCTGAGGAAACCATCAAATGACATCACTAGACAAGCTATCGCTCGAGTGGAACCCGAAAGGGAAGCGGCGAGTTGGTCGTCAGTATAAGGGTGACTTGGAGGAGGTCATGTAAAGAGGAGATGAAAGCGTGTGGGCAGACTTGGAGCCAGGTGAAGACGTTGGTAGAGAATCGAACGCAATGGAGACGCGCGGCTGAAGCCCTATGTTCCTCTAGGAATTAAAGGAAATAATAATATTG